TGGATGGGTGATCAGCTGACTGCAGGTAACGAGGCAGGCTGTCACAATAAGCTTCTTTACGCTTAGTTACGTAATAGTATTATCCGTATAGATTATTAGCTTTTTTCGCTTTTACTTGTAGCTTTATAGTTCGACCGCTTTAAAGACTGCTTAAATCTTATAAATATTAATGTCAAATTCTTTAGCTAAAAGGCTAGCAAGTAAAAGGTCTTTAGTATATGCGTGATCGATTTGTAGTATCGATACGTGCTCTTTCTAAATGCAGCGCTGCTGCTGCACGTAATTAAAGTAAAAGGCACCGAGATTTAGACGAAACGCATCTTTAAATAAATGTATGATAAGCTTTTAAGCGTTATTAAAGAAGCGGACGCTATTATAGAGTAAGAATAGCTTGTTCTATTATTTAATATCATCTATCATTAGTCGAAGGATTCTGCGTTTAAAGGTTTTCTGCTACTTAGAACTAAAGGTTGCAATAAACGTTTAAAGTCGCCGGCAAAACACGTAGCTAAGCTACACTGCAAGAGCGCAAAAAGCTAGCAAGCTTGTAAGTGATTAAGCGTCGAAGAGGGTTAAATGCTCGTCTTTAATCGCTCTTTAAGTAAAGTTGAGAACTCGATAGAGCTTTTTTAAAAGGACGGAGACCGTGAAAGTATGCGTATCGACTCGAAGGCTTAGCAAATTGATTGCGGTTCTTTTTTCTTTCTTTTTCTTATTCTTAAAGACTCCGCAGATCTCTTTAAGTTCGTCGTAAGCTCGCTTGAACTCGAGAAGTTAAGAGATTTAAGAAGCTGAGATTGCAATCATCGTATCGTTAAAGAAGTGCTTAATGTGTTTGATGCTTAACTAAAACTATAATATCTATTGCTAAGCTTCGGCCAAAAGGTTATAAATAAAAAAGGAAGTAGATAAGCCGAAAGAAAGTACGTTATTTATATAATACTTCCTCTTCTATTAAAAGCTTAAGTGCTAACGCTAATAAAAAGCTATTAAGATCGTTCGAAAGGCATCTTTTATATCTCTTTTCAAAAGCATGCACCTTTGGCTTGCTTTTAGCACTATTGCTAAAAGTCTTTCGAAAAAAACGTATTGTAACGTCGCCGCTTCGTTAAAGATTTAATCGTTAACAAAACTCTTTAAGTTCTTAAAGTAAAAGAAGTGCTGAATTTTTCGCTACGTCTTATCGTGTTTAAGAACGAAACTAAAAGGTGATACGAGCAAAAAGATAGTATCATTTAAGACCATTTGAATCCGATTAAGTAAAAGATTAAAAGCTATTCGATCGTGTTGGATTGCTTCCAAGCGATTGGGAATATATTCGTAAAGTCGTAACGGTCGTCAAAGTACTTGCAATTGCAAAACACTCGGTTGATAAGGTATCTGAATTCTGTCTGCTCCCTAAGATTCAAGGGAGCTGATTCCTTTTATAGGACTAGAAGGAATCACGTGCACTAGCTAACTAATAGGTCTACTTATCAAGTTAAGGGTCCTTTGATTGCTGATATGCTAAGCGAAGCATGCTAAGTGGCCCGTGAACCATAGTTCACGGGTGAGCTTTCTTTAACTACTACTATTAGCTAGCTAAGGTCGATATGGATATACCGACACCGGCAACTCTCTCTTTAGCAAGCAATGCTTTGCTAACTATTATATCGACCGAAAAAGAGAAGGAAGGTGATCAAAACAAAAGAAAAACAATCACTCTACTAAACCTCACTCTCTTTTCTCTTATAACGGCCTTTCCACTTACCCGTTTACTTGCACTTTTAAAGTATTGGTCAAAACTAGCTCTTGCAAAAAGGTATTGGCCTCGATTTTGGTTATAGCGTTAGCAAGGTTGGATTTGCTTTCGATCTAGCGTACTTTAAAAAGCTCTCGCTTTTCGTATGACTCTCGAATAGCTATAATGTCGATCATTAAGCGCTTTTCTTTAATAGTTCTCAGCTTTATTATACACTCGTAAAGCGAGTAAGAGTTAGTGCACACAATTACGAAGAAATTAAGGATCTTTAGCTAAGCTGTGATTTAAGCAAAGATAGTCGATATAGCAATGGCTATATCGATACTTAAGAACATAGCGTATAGCTCAAAGGTTAGTACTGCTCTTGTCACCTTCTTGCACTTTTATAACACTTAATAAAGGATATTACCCGTTAAAGTGAACTCGTTCTTATTTACGTGAGCTTTATTGCTAAGGATAGCTACGAAACCGATCTAAGAGCTAAGGTTAGCGTTGTTAGCAAACGCTTTATCCACGAACATAAAGAGCTTCGCCGTCTTTAAGTTTAAGGGCACGTAGTAGATCCTTCGAGTTAAGTGATCGATCAGCTATTAGATCACTTTATTAAGGGCTTTGTAGTCTTCGTCTTTCGGTTCTTAATGCTGAGCAGCTATCGATAGAGCGCAAGATGCTTCTAAGTAGCAAATGGTAGCTAAATACGCTTTTTAAGTACGTTGCTTTAAGTACTCTTTGGCTCGTGTGGTTGAATCGAGCTTGATCACGGCAAGCTTTTCACTTTGCCCTTTCTGCCCAATTAATAGCTCGAACTCGTCTTTATTTAAGGATAGCTTGCATTTATTGAAAATCATCGGTTTAGCGTGTATAAAGGTCTCTATTTCCTTGCTTTTTAGCTTGGATTTGACTAGTTCCTTCTCTTCCTTTGCCTTTATAGCTAGATTGACAACTATAAGAACATCGTCCGTTTGTAAAGCAGCTATTCTTAGCTGATCTTTATTAGTTGATACAAAAAGGCAAAAATTAAAGCTCGATTGCCTTATCTTAAGGTTGTCCGTAAAATGCTTTGAAAAACGCTTATATTAATGCGTTCTTGCTTCGAAGATGCCGTATAAAAGGCTAGTCATAAAGAACAAAGTGCCGAAGGAGAATCGATAAGTGATCTCTTTAAGTAGTCGCACGACGATTATTCGGATAAGCTTCGTGCTTGACTGAGTATAAGCTTAAGTGATATCTTTGTTATAAACTTAATACCCGTAGTCTTTTATTAACGAAAGAGCTAGAGCATAATAAAGTTTTTAGCCCGCTCGCTATACCGTAAGTGATTCGGTGAGTACCTTCGTTTTGCTTTTATCTTGAAAAGCTTAGACTATTATACGAGACTTTTCGTATAACGTAAGTGTTCTTTTGCTTTTGATCTTATTAACAAACTTAGATCCGAAGATCTTAGCGCTTTTAGCGCGTAAATCGATGCTCGAGATCACTTGAAAAATGCTTTAAGTTATCAATCTAGCTAATTCCTTTGCTTTAGACTCTTGAAATAATGCTTTAAGGCTCTTAATGATCCTTTCGGCGCGCAGCTTAATTAAAAGCTTATAATCCCAGCGTTCTTTATCGGTAATCAACACTTCGGAGTCTTTAATGAATAGAACGTAAGAATCGCCTTTTTCTTCGTCGAGCACGGTCGAGATATTAAGATCGTACTTCTAGTAAAGTATCTAGACTATTAGTATTATTGATCTTTAAAAATTAACAAGTTAAAAAAAGTTGTTTACTGATCTTAGCGAGCTTCTTAGATTAAGCGACTTCGGTGGATTAAGCGAATGTTAAAGTTTAAGCGAATTTCGTAGTTCTAGCTCTTTTTCGCTTTCGTCGCTTTTACTTTGATCTTCTTCTACCTTTACCTTAAGTACTTGCAACTCTTTTAGCAGCTTTTCAACTTTAGAATAATAAAGTTTTATTAAGGTTGACTTGAATTCCGTAAGTCTCGGACATGCTATTATGCACGTGTGCCTTTGCTTGCTAAGCAGCTGAAAAAGGCCTTTCCATCTTTGATTCTCTTGCTACACGAGTACTTATAAGCTAATAAAGAGGTCTAAAGTATGCTCCGTAACTAGCCTATTCCTTCTCTTGAGCGCGTCCTTAACTTGCTTTGTAGCGTGGCATTTTCGTACTTCCTTTATAGCCTTATTAATAACAGCAGTACGCTTTTGAGTAGACGCAGCAAGCCGATCTTGGTCCGTCAGCTTTAATAAAGTCTTAAAAACGAGAAGCGTAAAGACCAAGCTATTAAGTCCCGCCGTGTCGTTGATAGCTTTGATAGCCATTTAAAGCCGATCTTTTTTTAAGGCCTTAAGAAGCTTTTTTATAACGATCTTAAAAGCGCGTCGTATAAAGACGTAGTAGCGTTCTACTAGCTCGACGCTATGATAAGCTTTTATAAGCATCTGCTTTAAAGTGCTGCTAATACTTTTAAAGTAGCTTCGGAACGTTGCTGAATTAAAGTTGGTTTCGAGATCGTGTACGACGTTTATAAAAGGTCCGACGTAAGTGTTGAC